CCCAAGCCGTGCTGTCTTCTGGGAGGACTGCACCCCTCAGAGGACCCCTGGGAAGTGGACCCTGTCTGTGACCAGGATCAGCTTGGAAGTCTCCCCAGGGTGGGGTGGGGGGGCGGGGGCTGGTGCTGGCTCAGGGTCTGGTCTTGCTCTGGGCGCTGGAGGCCTCGGTCCACCTCAGTCTCAGCTTCCTACCCTGCAGTACCAGCCCCAGGTCGCTCTGCCTGCTGGCCTGGCCCTGGCTTCCCTGCTTGGCACCATCAAGATATCTCTTACCACACTTCCTCCTTGCAAGCCGCCTCACTGTAGGCCATCGACAGGGGTTCACTGAGCACCGCTGTGTGCCAGGCACTGGGCTTTAGTTACCAGGGAGACGCAGTGAGCAGGACAAACTGCTGTCCTCGGGGCCGTGTCCAGCCCAGGTGAGCCTCTGAGCACACAGAGGTATCTGCTTCCACGCGGCGGGTGCAGGGAGGCCCAGATGGCAGGCATGATGAGAATGCTGGCAGAGGGTCTGCAGCCCCCAGAGAAATGTCATTTTTGGTAAAGTGCTCTGGGCAACTGGGTAGAGGCTTTGAGAGGAGGGCGATGGGGTTGACTTGAAATTCTGAGACAAGAGGGTGGCCGGTGGAGGTGGAGACGTCTTTGACAGCCGTCAGAGATCCCTGAGCCCCCCTCCTGCTGGGCTTCTGGTACCCCCAGGCAGCATAGCTGTCATCCGAGTGTTCAGGCCTGTGCCTGAATCCCACTGCCCCTCTCTGAGCCTCGGTTTCCCCACCTGCAGAGAAGAGACGGTAACACTCGCTGTTGGAGCTGCCCCGGAGATGGAAACGCATGGCCTGCCCAGCGCCTGCCCAGCGCCTGCCCAGCGGGGGGCGTACACGGCTGCCCTTGGGGGTGCATGGGCCGGGCCAGGCAAGGGCAGGCTTGGTTTCCTAACCTGCGCAGTGGGCCCACCCATGGCGCCTGGGAGGGGACAGATGATGCTTGTCTACGTGAATTGCTTTGGGGGTGGCAGGGGGCTCTCGGGAGTCAGCCATAGCACAGGGGCACAGAGAGCCATGCAAGGGCTCCAACCTACCCTAGCCTGGCACGAACCCCTGCACCTGGCACTGCCCACTGCCGCTGTGAGTGGCTGCAACCCTCGGGACACTCCTTTCCAGCTTCAGGAACCCGAGGGAGGTGGCTTTCCTGGGGGACTGGGACATGGCGTTTGGGAGGAACGTGGAGGCAGGGACAGTGCGGCGGCAGCAGGGACAACGTGGCAGCAGCAGTGACAGTGTGGCGGCAGCAGTGACAGTGTTGCAGCAGCAGGGACAATGAGC